CTACAGAGGGGATCAGGTCTTTAGTGCTCCTGAGGTCCAGGCTGGTCTACAGAGGGGATCAGGTCTTTAGTGCTCCTGAGGTCCAGGCTGGTCTACAGAGGGGATCAGGTCTTTAGTGCTCCTGAGGTCCAGGCTGGTCTACAGAGGGGATCAGGTCTTTAGTGTTCCTGAGGTCCAGGCTGGTCTACAGAGGATATCAGGTCTTTAGTCAGCCTGAGGTCCAGATTGGTCCACAGAGGGGATCAGGTCTTTAGTGTTCCTGAGGTCCAGGCTGGTATACAGAGGGGATCAGGTCTTTAGTCAACCTGAGGTCCAGATTGATCCACAGAGGGGATCAGGTCTTTAGTGTTCCTGAGGTCCAGATTGGTCCACAGAGGGGATCGGGTCTTTAGTGTTACTGAGGTCCAGACTGGTATACAGAGGGGATCAGGTCTTTAGTGTTCCTGAGGTCCAGGCTGGTATACAGAGGGGATCAGGTCTTTAGTGTTCCTGAGGTCCAGGCTGGTATACAGAGGGGATCAGGTCTTTAGTGTTACTGAGGTCCAGGCTGGTATACAGAGGGGATCAGGTCTTTAGTCAACCTGAGGTCCAGATTGATCCACAGAGGGGATCAGGTCTTTAGTGTTCCTGAGGTCCAGATTGGTCCACAGAGGGGATCGGGTCTTTAGTGTTGAGGTCCAGGCTGGTCTACAGACGGGATCAGGTCTTCTTAGTGTTTTGATTTTTACAGTTTATCTGAATTTGTCTGAAGTTCAGTTTTTACTTTGTGTTTGTTGTTGTTTATTGATTTTAAATCCAGTTGATTTGACCTGGAACTCTTCTTCTGTGGTATTTCATCAGGAGGAAGCAGCAGAGGAGAGTCCTGAGGCAGAGACTGAAGGAGCCGAGGAGAACAGGTATCAGTTCTTATAAAAACATCCAACTTTGAAMCTTTTTCTAAAMCCATCCTGAAGATCCTGATCCTCAGACAGAACCAGGACCTTTGACTCAATCAGTGAAGATCCAACTCCTGAAGACTCAGTTATAGTCKCGCTCCGGTACTCACGCAGGGCGCGCACCTTCCCCAGAGCTGGAGGTGTTTACACTTGGAGCTCATTGCAGATTTCTCCAAAAGGACACGTGGAAGTACACTTTATAACTTGTGAAATGTTGTAAATAGGGGCGTAACTATTTGAGCGGTGAGCGCAGGTTTTGCAGAKTTACAAARTTTCAGAGGTCCACGACCACGTGCCGGGACACCATGCAGGGTCAACGCAGGGGTGGGGATGCTGCGATCGCRTCACTTTTAACGCTCACGCCCAGTGCAACACATCACCTGTAAACCAGACTTTATGGACTACTTTAGAAGCTTAAAGCTCTCCTTAGGACCAGCTGGCAGCTCGTCTCCTGGTCCTCCATGATCCTGTCCTGGACCCCGGACCTGGACCATGACACAGGGCTGCAGGAGCTCTGAGCCAGCTCATTAACCATCCTAGTTGGTTGGTTACTGTTTCCTCAGGAAGAGGTTTTCAAACTGAAACTACAAATCACACACACACACATTCCTGTATTCCTGCAAACTGAGGACTCTGTGGTCTGTCAGTACTTATCAGGACATTTTGTTGTTTAGTTTTTATACATTTAAAAAAATATTTTATTTTTCCTTCAGGTCTTCTTGGCATGAAGACTTTCTCACCAGCCATGGTCCTGACTCAAAGGTAAGACTGAGATTATGTCAACATACACGTGTTTAAATCTCAAAAATATTTTAAAGTGATTCTGTCAGGAAAATTCCTCCTCTTCACCCAGATTTATTCTGGTACTTTAATCTGCTCTAATCTCTCTCTGTCTCTCTGCCACAGTTTTATTAATCTGCTTTAATCTGTGTTTGCAGTGTTTCGCTGTGCGTTCTCTGGGCTGGCTGCAGGTGGAGGAGGAGGACCTTTCCCCCGGTCGCAGCAGTCTGGCTGTCAGTAASGTCATCCAGCAGCTGTCTCACTGCAGCAGCCCTGAGCAGAGAGACAGGTCTGAGGCCTGGGGGGAGGTGAGAGTCCTCTGCTGTCCCCAGTGGCAGGACACAGTAACTGCAGCCGAGTTTCAGGAAAAAAATATTTGATGTGTTTCTGCACGTCTCAGCTCGGTCAGATGTTATGATGTAGCAACGTAAAACAGGACGTTATTCATCAAATCTGTTTTGGATCTGTTCCTTCTGCAGGGTCGGGAGATGATGCTGGTTCTGAAAAAAGACACCTTGACCCTGTTGGACCCGTTAGACCACACACCCCTGCACTGTCAGCCAATCATCAACATACGTGTGTGGGGGGTAGGCTGCAACAACGGACGGTGGGCCAATCACAGTTGTCTTCTGTTAGCCAATCACAGAGCAGTTCGCTGGCAGCCAATCACAGAGTAGTTCGCTGAAAAGTCAGAGAAAAAGAGGCTGTGTTGGAAATGTTCACTGAACCTTAAATATACTAAAATAAAATGAATATTACTGTAATAATTTCTGTACAGAACAGCTGTTTTCTGAACCTGTGTGTAAATAATGTAAACAATCTGCAGAGTGTTATAACACCTGGAACAGTGATTGTTTTATGTTATTTACAGCCTGTTTTTAATCATATTTCATATTTTTTAATAAAAATCTCTATGCAGCTCAGAGGAGGATCAGAGACTCATTTTAAAATCTGAAAATCACAATCCTGAGCTGAAGATCTTAGCATTATTTGTCCTGCTGTGTCGGCTCAGCTGCATGTGCATGTTTATAGTTTTACCTGCAAACATCAGACTCACCTGCAGCTGCTGGAAARAGAGGTCCACCCTAAAGAGTCTTTACGCTAGGCTAATCTAAACTCACTCATCACACCTGCTTCAGTGGTGCTGCACGCTGAGTCATCAAACTTAAACTCACCTCTGTGTTTATTACCTGTCAGTCACACTAACTGTCACTTTCTGTGTCTTTGCCACGCCCACCCTCACCTGTGCAGGGACAGGTAAACTGCTCTGCATCACAGTGACACCACACAGCTCCATCAGGATCAGGATCATTTATAAGTTTTACTGTTCAATAATCACCTGTTCTACCT